TGGAATTGCAATGGGCTTAATGGGCCTTTGAAGAGAAGACAAGTTTTTCACATCTTGAATAGAGAACAACTGGACTTGATATGCCTACAAGAAACTCATATAACCAGAGCCCATAGGAGATTACTTACAAATAAAAGACTAGGACAAGAATTTATTTCATCAGATAAAGTTAAAAAAAGAGGAGTCGTAATATATGTAAAAGAGAAATGGGCCCCAAAAATGATATTTAAAGATGAACAAGGGAGATATCTGGCAGTGGAGATACAAGTACAAGGAGAAAAATTTCTGGTTGTTGGAGTTTACGCACCAAATGAAGGTAAATCTGACTTCTTTAAGAGACTTCATGAAACTCTAATGGACTATTTGGATTACAATATGATAATTATGGGAGACATGAACGGTGTGGTTTCCACCAATATGGACAAGGCACAAAGAGCAACAGTCACCAAGGAAGGGAGACTTCCTAAGACCTTTTTTGAAATGACGGAAAACATGGATTTGATAGATATATGGAGAACAAGGAACCCTCTGGAGAGAGAGGGAACCTTTTTCTCCCAAGCAATGATGACCTGGACCAGAATTGATCAAATTTGGATCACTAGTGGTATGGCTCCAAAGATCAAGAAGGTAGAAATCTGCCCAAAAACTTGCTCCGACCATAACGCTGTGAAGATGGAGATGAAACTTACAACTACTAGTCAATTTAGATGGAGAATGAATGACACCCTCTTTCGAGACAAGGAGATTCTTATGAAGGCCCAAAAAACCTTAAAAGACTACTTTGAAATAAATTTGAGGGCTGACGTGGAGAAAGAGTGGTCTGGGACGCAAGCAAAGGCGGTGATGCGAGGTTTCTTGATTCAACAAAACTCAATAAAGAGGAAAAAACAAAATGAGAAAAAGAAAGATTCTGGAAAAGATAAAGGAAGGAGAGGAAAAATTAAGAGTAAAACCAAAGTCCCAGGAGATCTTAAGAGAGATTAAGTTATATCAAATACAATATATGAATTGATGAACCAAGAGATTGAATGGAAGATAAAGCAATGAAACAAAAGACGTTTGAATCAGCAAATAAATGTGGCAAACTTCTGGCATGGCAATTGAAGAAAAGGCAGAAATTAAATACAGTTACAAGTTTAGAAGTGGATGGAAAGAACATATCTAAACCTAATGAAATTAGAAATTGCTTTCTGAGTTATTTTAAAAAACTTTATACCCAAGGCCTACAAAATGAAGAAGATATAGATAAATTCCTTGATAAATATGGACTACAAAAAATCTCTCATCAAAGTAAGATAGATCTGAACCAGAGAATAACAGAACAAGAGATAGAGGATGCCATTCAGAATATGCAATTGGGCAAATCTCCAGGACCAGATGGATTGACTTCTAGATACTACAAATCCTTGAAGGAATGGTTGATTCAACCATTAAAGGAAGTCTGTAATGAGATTCTTGAGGGAAAAAAGGCACCGGAATCGTGGAAAGAAGCATATATTTCACTCATACCAAAGACAGAGACTGAGAAGACTCAACTGAAGAACTACCGCCCAATATCACTACTTAATGTGGATTACAAAATTTTTGCAGACATTTTGGCAAAAAGATTTAAAAAAGTGTTGATGGAAAAGATTCACAAGAATCAAGCAGGCTTTCTCCCAAAAAGACACCTAGCAGACAATGTAAGGAATATAATAGATATTTTGGAAAAGTTAGAGGTGAATATAAACACTAAAGCAGTATTGATTTTTGTGGATGCGGAGAAAGCCTTTGACAATATTTCCTGGAGTTTTATGATAAAGAATCTTCAGGGATGGGGGTAGGACAAGGTTTTGAGAATGGTATAGCTGCAATATATTCTGAACAAAAAGCCAAATTGATTGTAAATAATGTGATAACTGAGGAGCTTAAGATAGAAAAAGGAACACGACAGGGGTGCCCAATCTCCCCATTACTTTTTATTTCGGTTCTGGAGGTGTTGCTGAATATGATTAGGAATGACCAGCAGGTTAAAGGAGTGCAGGTCGGAGCTAAACATTATAAGTTAAGAGCATTTGCAGATGACCTAGTATTGACCCTGCAAGAGCCAAACACTAGTATGAAAAAGGTTTTAGAAATAATTCCAACAGTTTGGCCAGGTAGCTGGATTTAAGTTGAATAAACAAAAAAACCAAAGTCTTAGGAAAAAAATTTAACAGATATGGAAAAGGAGAAATTCCAAGAGGAGACAGGGTTGACGGTGGTTAAGAAGGTGAATACCTAGGGGTTTATTTGACATCTAAAAATGTGAATTTGTATAAGGATAATTATGAAAAATGTTGGTCAGAGATCAAAAAAGATCTAGAAATATGGTCAAATTTGAAATTGTCAATGTTAGGCCGAATTGCAGTGATTAAAATGAATGTATTGCCTAGAATGTTATTTTTGTTTCAGACCTTGCAGATTCTTGACAAGATGGAATGCTTTAAGAGGTGGCAGAAAGATATTTCGAAATTTGTCTGGCAGGGCAAAAAGCCCAGAATTAAATTTAAAATATTGACAGACGCTAAAGAAAGAGGGGGTTTTGCCCTGCCGGACTTAAAAATTGTACTATGAAGCAGCAGCTTTTTGCTGGCTGAAGGAATGGATGCTCCTCGAGAATACAGACATCTTGGATCTGGAAGGTTTTAACAATGTTTTTGGTTGGCATGCATATCTATGGTATGACAAAATCAAGCAGCATAGTGCCTTTAAAAATCACATTGTTAGAAAAGCATTGTTTAATGTATGGATGAGATACAAAGATCTGTTGGAAAACAAAACCCCTAGATGGGTGTCACCAGTCGAGGCTAAAGCAGTAAAGAAACTCAATATGGAGGTCGGATGGCCGAAGTATTGGGAAATTTTGGAACAGGATGGAGAGAAGTGGAAATTACAAAGCTATGACAAACTGAAACATAAAGTACAAAACTGGCTTCAATATTATCAAATAATGGAGCTTTTCAAACAGGACAGGAAAATTGGCTTTCAGGTGGAAAAATCAAAACTAGAGATTGAACTGCTAGAACCCAATACTAAGAATTTATCAAGAATGTATAACTTGTTGTTGAAATGGAATACACAGGATGAAACGGTGAAATCAGCTATGATTAAATGGGCACAAGATATTGGTCATGACATTATGTTTGCTGACTGGGAACAGTTATGGACCACCGGTGTTAAGTTTACGGCATGTAATGCCTTAAGAGAAAACATAATGAAAATGATTTACAGGTGGTACATGACCCCAGCCAAGCTTGCAAAAATTTACCATTTGCCCGATAACAAATGTTGGAAATGTAAAGAGACTGAAGGTACCTTCTATCACCTTTGGTGGACATGCCCGAAGATTAAGGCTTTCTGGGAAATTATCTATAATGAAATGAAAAAGGTACTTAAAAGTACCTTCTCTAAAAAACCAGAGGCCTTTCTCTTGGGCATTGTCGGCCAATTGGTGCCAAAGAGGGATAGAACTTTTTTATGTACGCTACAACAGCAGCAAGAATACTTATCGCAAAGTATTGGAAGACACAAGATTTACCACTCTGGAAGAATGGCAGATGAAAATGATGGACTATATGTCATTGGCTGAGATGACAGGCAGAATACGTGACCAAGGAAAAGAGACGGCGGAAGAAGAATGGAGAAAATTTAAAAGTTATCTTAAGGACTATTATAAACTTGATGAATGTTAGAATGTTATGGTTTTCAGAAACAAAGGGATACAGTGATATAAGGTCAGATTATGGAGATAACTAAGGACAGAGGTTGGAAAGTAATATTGGGAGTTGCTATAAAATTATGGACATTGGGATGCAGAAAGGGGGGGGTATGGGGGAGTCTGAGAAAAGAGGGTTATGAGAAACAATATGAAATTATGCGTGTTTGTATGGTTTTTTCTTTTTCTTTTGTTTTTTTTGTAAGTGTTTGTTTATTTTTAAAATTTTGTAAAACCAATAAAAATTTTTTTTTTTAAAAAAAGAAAATTTTAATGAGCCATATTTTCTATGAAGCAGTTTAGTGGAAGACAGAACACATAGGCTTGATCCAAGAATAATCAGTGGAAGAAAAATAACTGAATAATGCACTAGCCTTTACACAAGAGTTTACAGGGGGCTTTCTGCAGTGCAGTGTCAAACTATATCAGGGGTTGTGTTACAGTATAAGAAATAGTGTCTTGATTATGAAAGTTTCTCCTAGCAGTCAGATTCTTGCCTTGTGCAGAATATCAACTTAAATATCTGACTGATGCAAATGGCTATTTGGATTCCACCCACAATTCAAAGTAAGGCAAATAACAAAACTCCAGTTACTGAAAACTAACATTTTTTATATTATCTGTAACCATTATATCAATTATATTTGATCTTAAGACTTAGAAGCCTCACAAAGGTCACACTAACAAATGTGAATAGTAATAAAATGAAGTTTCACAGGCATAAATAATGCACAATATGGACAGGTATTTCTAAAACTAAGCAACATATTTTATTTATTTAAAGTGTTTGTAGGCCACTTAATCATTAGAATTTATTAGCATTCTAATATAATATTCAATTAGATCAGGGGTCTGCAACCCGCGGCTCCGGAGCCGCATGTGGCTCTTTTACACCTTTGCCGCGGCTCCGGAGCAGATACTAGCGAGGGGAGGAGGCGCATTGTGCGCCCCGACACTCGCCACTGTGGCGGGCGCTGTACTGGCTGTGACGTCGCATGGGGGCGGTGCATGCGTTAGTCATGCACCGTCCCGACGTCACCTTCCCGCCCGCTGTCAGATCGCGGCTCCGGAGATATATTTGTTTTAAATGTCGCAATGGTTTTGCGGCTCCCAGGTTTTTTTTCCTTCGGAAACTGGTCCAAGTGGCTCTTTTTGTCTTAAAGGTTGCAGACCCCTGAATTAGATAATTTAACACATTACAAAGAAAAAAAGCAAACAATTTTTTTATCTGTTTCATTTATATACAGTCCAAAGTCCTTACACATGCAATCACTGACAAAACTTACTTTACAAGATCAAGCCGATTATTGATTGCTGCCCAGTGAAGAAGAGTAACATTTTCTTTGTCTGGCTGTCTTACATCATACCCTGCTTCTACCAATTCCTGACACCGATCCAACAGGCCATATCTGAAATCAGAGTAAGATAAATTTGAATGGCAAAGAGTTATAGCTTTACTCTAAGTCATCATTATGTCTAAATCTGACAGTAAGAGTGGACAATACAATATATTACACGCACCAACACAGAGTCTCTGGAATGCAACTTTTATTCCAGGAAAGCATATAAACACAATCTAGCAGGGGAGGGGAAGACTTTCCTATGAGAAACAAATCATTTTTGAGCAACAGGGAGAGAAATAGCTAGGCTAACACACACACACACACACACACACACACACACACTACATATTTAAATGCTGGTTACTAGTACCTTGCTCACTTATACAACATACTGTAGCTGAAATTCAATGCATTGCTTTATAACACGTGAATTATTCAAGAAACTTACTGAGTTGCTTTGACAATATCAAAATTACTGTAGTCCTCTGCAAAAGGAAGCACATCTTGTTCTTTTGGTAGATCTTTTTCTTCATACATGTTAGACCAGCTATGTCCATGATGGCCAAGGGGACCGTGGCTATGATTTTTACACTGTTAATGAACAATTAAAATATTTCATAAGAAATATTTTACCCGAAAATATTGTATTCTTAAGAGAGGCTGTTGCTTACTTGCAATTTACAATATGTATTCCTGTTATAAACCATCTGCCATATACAAAAAAACAAAAAAAGTAATGGAAGCATTTAATCCAAGTCTCTGAGTAATTTGCATTCCTACCCATGTGTGAACGTGATGGGAATTAGGGCAAAAATAAATAAACAACAATGAGGGAGCACATAATCCCACATCCCAGTTCATGGTCAAACATATCAACTTATGCATCTACAGTGGTACCTCGTGTTAAGTACTTAATTCGTTCCGGAGGTCTGTTCTTAACCTGAAACTGTTCTTAACCTGAAGCACCACTTTAGCTTATGGGGCCTTCCGGTGCCGCTGCACTGCCATAGCACGATTTCTGTTCTCATCCTGAAGCAAAGTTCTTAACCCAAGGTACTATTTCTGGGTTAGCGGAGTCTGTAACCTGAAGCGTATGTAACCTGAAGCATATGTAACCCGAGGTACCACTGTACAGTAGGACCTCAGCTACCACTGTATACAAAAGTACACATGAACCTGTGTCTTATCCTATTATCCTGTGTCTCTTCCTATTACACAGAGCTAAGCAGAGCTTGTCTTATATGGAATGAAGGTGGCCACTAGTGAATCAGGCAGAAAGCAGTGCAGGCTTAAAATGCGGGGGGGGGGGGGAGCTTGAATGCAAATGACTGAGGTTTGAACTAACACAAGGAGTGAGAGACAACTGGACTAAGAAACTGAAAAGGGCCTAAGGAAATGAAATAGGAATTGGTTGGTTGGCATCCCTTCTGTCTTGGATGAATGAAACACTATTAATGAGTGTCCCAAGGAAGAAAGTTACAGATAGGTAGCCGTGTTGGTCTGCCATAGTCAGGGGGAGCTTGAATGCAAATGACTGAGGTTTGAACTAACACAAGGAGTGAGAGACAACTGGACTAAGAAACTGAAAAGGGCCTAAGGAAATGAAATAGGAATTGGTTGGTTGGCATCCCTTCTGTCTTGGATGAATGAAACACTATTAATGAGTGTCCCAAGGAAGAAAGTTACAGATAGGTAGCCGTGTTGGTCTGCCATAGTCAAAACAAAAAAAATTCCTTCCAGTAGCACCTTAAAGACCAACTAAGGTAGTTCTTGGTATGAGCTTTCGTGTGCAAGCACACTTCTTCAGATACACTGAAACAGAAGTTGCCAGATCCTTCTATATAGTGAGAAGGTGGGGAGGGGTATTACTCAGAAGGGTGGTGGGAATGGGTGATTGGCAGATAGCTGAGATGAGCCTGTTGATGACTCTTAACGACTGCAATAGGTCTTACAGGAAAAAGCAAGGGGTGAGAAGGTGAGAAATGGCTTTGTCATGTATAATGAGATAAGAATCCAATGTCTTTGTTCAGGCCTGGTTTCTCCATGGTTTTAAGTTTGGTAATGAGTTGTAATTCAGCAGCTTCTCTTTCCAGTCTATTTCTGAAATTCCTTTGTAGTAAAACAGCTACTTTGAGATCTTGTATAGAATGTCCTGGGAGATTGAAGTGTTCTCCTACTGGTTTCTCTGTTTTGTGATTCTTGATGTCAGATTTGTGTCCGTTTATTCTTTGGCGTAAGGTTTGGCCTGTTTGTTCAATATAGAGAGCTGAAGGACACTGTTGGCATTTGATGGCATATCAATGCCTGGCTATATACAATGGACTGTTTGGTATGCTTGGGATGGTAGCTAGAGGTATAAACCAACCAACTGACCGACAAACATATCTACATGCCTCTAGCTACCATCCCAAGCATACCAAACAGTCCATTGTATATAGCCAGGCACTACGTTACAGCCGTATCTGTTCCAATTCTACAGACAGAGACTCTCACCTAAGAGATCTACAGCAAACCTTTTTAGAACTAAAATACCCAGCAGATGAAGTTAGACAACAGATCAACAGAGCCAGACTGATACCCAGAGAGAACTTGCTGCAAGACAGACCCAAAAAAGAAAATAACAGAACACCTCTAGTCATCACATACAGCTCCCAAGTTAAAACAGTACAACGCATCATCAGAGATCTACAACCTCTCCTGGACAATGACAGTTCTCTTTCTCAAGCTCTGGGAGGAAGACCTTTCATTGCCTACAGACAGCCACCCAATCTTAAACAACTCCTAACCCACAATAATACTACAACCAGACCTAACATGGACACTGGCACCAGAGCCTGCAATAAACCCAGATGCCAACTTTGCTGCCACATACACCTGGACAACACCATTACTGGCCCCAACAACATCACACATACCATCTCGGGACTGTTTAATTGCTCATCGTCTAACATTGTGTATGCCATCAAATGCCAACAGTGTCCTTCAGCTCTCTATATTGGACAAACAGGCCAAACCTTACGCCAAAGAATAAACAGACACAAATCTGACATCAAGAATCACAAGACAGAGAAACCAGTAGGAGAACACTTCAATCTCCCAGGACATTCTATACAAGATCTCAAAGTAGCTGTTTTACTACAAAGGAATTTCAGAAATAGACTGGAAAGAGAAGCTGCTGAATTACAACTCATTACCAAACTTAAAACCATGGAGAAACCAGGCCTGAACAAAGACATTGGATTCTTATCTCATTATACATGACTAAGCCATTTCTCACCTTCTCACCCCTTGCTTTTTCCTGTAAGACCTATTGCAGTCGTTAAGAGTCATCAACAGGCTCATCTCAGCTATCTGCCAATCACCCATTCCCACCACCCTTCTGAGTAATACCCCTCCCCACCTTCTCACTATATAGAAGGATCTGGCAACTTCTGTTTCAGTGTATCTGAAGAAGTGTGCTTGCACACGAAAGCTCATGCCAAGAACTACCTTAGTTGGTCTTTAAGGTGCTACTGGAAGGAATTTTTTTGTTTTGACCAAGGAAGAAAGACAACAGAGAAACAAGTTCAGTCACACGTGTACAGTCACAGCTGAGAACAGTTTCTGACAGCAATTAAAAAAGGGGCAGGGTGACCAAAGGTAGGCAAGCCTTTGCAGAGAGCCTCTGAGCCAAAGGCTGATTTCACCTTCTTAGTATTTTTTAAAAGCTTCCTTTTGGATTAGAACTGGCTTCTGCTTCCTAATTAAGCTGAAGAAACAAATATGACTGAAAACCAAGATGGGGAAAGGAGGCAATAAGGAATTTAGATAGGCTGGAAAAAACATTGCTCCCTAGTATGAATATTTATGGAAATCTCTGCACTATTAATGAAGGAATGTATCATAATCAGTTTCAGATGATATTTTGAATGTTAACTTCATACCATAATGACAGATTCATAGAATGTGATTATTAATCATTACATATAAATATTAGTACTTTCACTACAATATATTTAGGAATGTTATATGTATATGTACACACACACTTAAAAGTCTTCTTTTAAAAGTAATAGGAAAGTCACTGGAAGGCGTAGGCTCTAAAATAAAGGGTGATCTCATTGATGACAGAGATGGATGGATGAGCCATTTAATGACAGGAAGTAAAAGCAAGGATTACAATACAATTTCCCTCCAGAAACTTGCCGGTGACAAAGAGTCTCTGGCCAATCAGAATTCAGATCAGAAAAGATGGAGATGTTTCCCAAGGAATGTACATTGACATCAGTGTAAGATGCTTGCTGGAGGGAACTTTCCCAAAATTAGTCTACGCATAAAGACATCCAAGCAATCTAGAGCATTGCCATACAGGTTCCTAGAACAACATGGATACACCAGGGAGAATAGCAGTATTTGCGAAAGCATCCTCCCTGAAGTGGCCAAGCGAGCACCCTGCAAAGGGTGTAGGATGTCGGGGTAGCTGCTAATCGGTGCAGCTCCGCTCATGCACCTTATGAGCTTTTCTACTGAGTAGGGCTGGTGTGTCTCAACAGAGCACCTCTCCCCATATCAGCAAGAATCTTTGATCAGGAGCATTTAACAACAGATCATCATCTTCCTTTATAGGGCATCTCACATTCATTTCTGGTTATATGCCTCATTCAAGTTCTCTCCATCATTCTCTGTTGTCTGAATCTTGCATCCACGTAAGCCCTGCTGCTAGTTTTGGATTGTCCACACACAGATCAGTTATGCTGAACACTCTTTATTTGGGGATGGGGGGAAATGTCTGTAAATGCAACACCTTTCGTGGAGGTGGGTGATTTCAGCTCTTGTTACCAAAAGGAGGCTTGAGTCAGGTCCGCCCATAAGTTGAGCGGAGGAGAGTGAGGAAACTGGGATGCTCTTCCCATCAGCCCAATACTGCCATACCAGCCAAGATCCTTTCAGCCCCACCCCCATAAAACACTTGAGAGGCTGCCCCTCCAAAGTTGATGGGCATTGCCATTCAAGTGGTGCCACATATTGTGATCGATCATGTGGGGCGGGGCTTACCTGCACCCCCCCGGCCTATATAAATATATATATATAACCTCTAGTCTAGATGATACCTGCAGTTTCACACACTGTGAAAGGATAGCAACCGCGGGCTGTCCTATACCGGCTGCTGCCTCGGCCCCCAACCAACCTCGCCATGGGATCAGATGGAGGATCCTCCATGCCTTCCCACTGGGGTTTTGCTTCTGATCGTTGGGCGGTGGGAAGGAGCAGGATCCGCCCCCTCGGGAAACAACTCCCCACCCCCGTGCTTTCCTTTCTTCTTCTTCTTTGGAAGGGCACAAGGCGGCGAGGGGGAAGGAGGGCCAAGAGACGCCATCTCCTCCTCCTCCTCGCTTTCTTCCGGCCTTACTGCTCCGCTTCTAGGCCTCTCCCTCCCCGGCCCTCGCTTAGCAACCTCTCCAGCCTCTCCCCCCCCCCCGCTAGCGGCCTCCATTTCTGTCCGCCCCCCCCCCTTGCGCGACCCCGGTGCTCACCTCACGCCCTCCGCAGCCTCCGCCGCCCTCCATGCCAGGCCGCCGAGACCAGGCCCAGCCCCGCTCGCCTGACTAGAGCCGCTTCTTGGCGCCGCTTCCTGGTTACCGACGCGCACCTTCCCCGCCGCTCTGGCCCAGGAGGAGGAGCTGCTGCTGCTGCTGCTGCAGGAGACGGAAGAGCGGCGGGCCTCCCTGGGCTGCCCCGGCCCCTGGCGGCGTGGAGGCAGCCTGCAAGGCTCCCGAGGGGGGAAAAGCGCCTCTGCCTCCGCTCCCCAGTTGTATCGCACGCGAGTTAAAGCTACCTGAGAGGAGGCCCCATGCTACACGGGTCTTCCTGGGCATACGGTTGTGTTGTGTGGGTAAGGGGGCCAGGGGTCGGTGTGTGCACATATAGACACGGAGGACAGAGTTCATGCCGTGACAAGTCCTCTTATTCCTGTTCCCATTTGCTCCTGGCTAACGCAGCTCAACGGCTGCAACGCTGCGCGCCGTCTTTGGGAAGAGAAAGCCCCCTGGAGCAGCCTGAAAATAACATATATTACTTATACCCCGCCCATCCGGCTGTGTTTCCCCAGCCTGAATCTGTTAGCTGAGAAGCAAGCGCTTATCGTGGGGCAGCTCTTACTCCCTGAGTAAAACAAGGCAACTACCGGTAGTTGGTCTGAAAAGTTCCACTGAAAGCAATGGGGGGCTTCCGTTTTGACTAATTTGCTCCTTTTCATTTCGGCTGTAGAGCTGAAAGGGAAATCTTAAAACCTAGCTGCTAAGGCTGCAATCCTGTGCCTAACCCAGCAGGGCGCAATGGGAATACCCTGCCTTCTTAGTAATCATGTATATAAGGAGGTCAGATCAGCATACATGATTTTCTCTTCACAACAATCCTGTGAGGTTGATGAGCCGAGAAAGAAACTGAATGAGCATTAGAACCCAGGTCTTCCCGATCAACATTCAACAGTCTTAATGGCTGAAGCCCCTCTGGCTTCTTTATGTATGGAACTGAGCTATAAAGATGTTTGCAGATGTTGTTCAGAGCAAGATAAAACAGAGCAAGTACTGTATTCAAATGGTGGGGAAGATGCACCTCGTAACATTGTAGTTTTAAAAATTAAGTTGATCACATTATTACCTATTTATTAAATTTGTATACCACCCTCCAAAGATCATAGGGCAGGTTACAACATAAAAATACAAATGGAAACATAAAATACATAATAAACAAAAGTAAAACAAACCAGTAATTATGGTGATCCATAATTTTTCCATTACAATTTCTTAAGGTACTATTTTCTTAGCATCACCACCAATAGTAGGAATAGCCAACCTGATGCCCTCCAATTAATGGACTACAACTCTCAGCAGCCCCAGCTACCAGTTACGGATGATGGGTGTTGTAGTATGACAACATCTCGTGAGCGCCACTGGCTGCACCTGCAATACTGTGAATAACGCATGGTACATTTGTGTGCTTCAAAGCATGCGGCATGAAAAATCTGGTTTCCACATCATTCCTTCTTTCATTTCATAAAAAGAACTCAAACTTCTGGGGAGAAATGATAACAGCATTCACCATGTAACACCTTGTGTAAGATATTGCACAATGCCTTGCTTCTACCTATACAAGCAAACTGTTGGATTTGCATTCTCTGTGCTTACATAAACTTACTGGCACTAAATTAAGAAAAGTCCATGTGTACAGGGAAGAGGCCTTATGCTTGTGGAATCCAACCCAATATCACAACACAAATCAGTTGAATGTGCTTGGGGCTTAGACTATTCATGAATCACAGGGAAGTGTATTGTATTTATAACAATAAAGATATTCTGTTCTGGAAAAGATAACATTTTGGAAGATCAAGGTGATCCTTTTATTAAAAACATGCTTGATTTCTACATAGCAGACCGATAGTTTCCCATCTGTCCATATGTCAGTGGACTTGGTGAGCCACTGTTGTTATGCTGTGTACATACGTGAAAACTGTGCTTTCCTAATTACGAAAAATATATTCTTGCATGTGAAAAATGTGGTAAGCAAGCAAATAAAGTAACTTTAATTCCGTGGCACTATATCTGGGTGGGAGCAGATTTAAGAAGACAGGACAGAAGAAAACCCTCCACTTTATTTTTACATTATGTCACTTAATGCATGAATGGGAAGAATACTCTGCCTTCTTTCTTCACCTTTGAATTTGATTTTGTGAAGACACTATTCCAGCACTGTTTTCACAGTAAACAGAAAGCATCAAAGCCATCTAGGGCCAGGCAAGGGAGTTTTGCATTTAACTATAGGGTAAAGCCTTGATGTCCATCACCAGCTAGTCTTCCTCACCCTAACATTAAGCTGTATACTCAAGAGGTGTCACTGGAAAGACTGCATATGAAGTTTAGGCTAGGTGGTTCCTTGTCAAACAGGAACTTAGTTCTCAAAGTGGTAAACTATCTGCATCTAGTATGCAATTTTGAAAAAGGTAGGCAGAAGTGTTGCTATTCCCACTTAAAATATATGCATTCCCATAAGAGGGTGAACTTGTATGCAGAAAACATCTATGATAATTAGTGAGGGCAGTATTCCAACACATTTCTAGAATGTGATTTTTATCACAATTAACAGAACTGATAAGAGACCTTCTACCAACCCAGCTGTCATGTTTTAGAATCGTGTCCCTTTGTTATCCTGTATGCATTTAGAGCTTAACTACTGCTCCAGAATCTCTGATGTAGTTACAATAAGCCTATCTGAAGACCAGATATCAAATGATATTGTAACTGGATCTCTGTTCATTTATAGCTGACCTGAACAATCAAACTCCGATTGAAGCTATCAAGAATCACCACTCTTCAAACCACAGGGGAATGAATAGAAATTTTAAAGGGCCAGTCATTTGCCTGTGGGTTGTGTCCCAGAGTGAAGTAACATTGTAGATTCAGTTACAAGCAGAGGCATGTTCACACACAAATGTTCCAAGTGTAGATGGACGCATGGATGTGCATTCAATCCCTCCCCCTAGCATCCTTGTGGCCAGCACACAAGCAAACCTTGTCCCCAAAGTTCTCACGAGCATCTTGCCCACCACCCCATTCTGGACCTCCCTTGTGTTGCCCAATGGAAGTCTGCAGGTGGCTTCTACTTCTGTGAAGTTGAACATGTGAAGTTGAGAAGAAACATCTTCCATCATGTGCAGTTAGTTAGGCACTTTCAAGCAGATGCAAGACCTTCCTCACACAACATGAGGACAGGTAGGACAGGCAGGGGAAAGATCCATGAGGACACTGGTGGCAGGGCTTGTATATGTATTCCTGTCCCTGTACACACTTTGGAATCTGTTTGTGTCCAAGGTGTCAATCTGAATGCACCTCAAGATTCAACTTTTTAATCTGAAGCTTTGTTGGTCAAGGACAGGGAACTTTTAAAAAACAAAACAAAATCCACACCTTTTAAAAAGTTAGATCATTTTAGTGGCACAATGACCTTAACAGATATTAGAATAGTGTCTCATCAGGTGCGCTAAAAAGGTGCTGCTTTTTAGATCCTCAAAACTTGTTGCACTGAAAAGATAACTGTTCATAAACCTTTTGAAGTCGAGAAATCAAGCATTTAAAAGAGCCCAGGAATTAGCCGGTAAGGTACTGCGTCAGTATACTTCTTCCAATTGTTGCCATACTTGCTGGAGCATCGGTGTTCATCCCGGATGCAACGGTGAACCAGAAGAATGGTCATATGAATTATGTAGAAGTAAGGCAGAATGTGTTCAAAACCACAACATAGACAGTATGCCAGGGAGCCCATCAAGTCGCCTGTATAGTTAAAATGGCGTGCCACTCCCCAGAAGCCGGATGTCAACAACTTGCTGTGGTGTTTGATCCCATCTGTTGACGTATAGGAGCATTCAATGTACTTGGGCTTTCTGCCCCAGATTTTACAGTTGCCATCTGTACGACGAAAGAGATCTTTCTGATGATTGGTCATTCTAAAGATATAGTAGCCCACTAAACCAAATAGTAGAATCCCAACTGCACTGCTTGTAGCCAGATGGACAGGGTGGTAGACCAAGTATAATCCCTAAAGAAGGAGAGAGAAACATACCCCATAAGCAAACGTTTATACAGAATTGGTACCTGTCTGCTTTCATTAGAGGAGCCCATACTAGAGAATGAAGCTTTTGCCTGCCGGGGGGGGGGGGAAACTGCTCTTATGATAAATACTCTATAACACAGATAGATAAGCCACAGATGACCCTGCAGTCACTCGCTTTGTCATAATGAGAGTCAATATGGTGTAGTGCTCAGTCTGCTGGATGAGGACTGGGGAGATCTGGGTTCATATCTTCACTCAGTCATCAACTCTCTGGGTGAGTTTGGATCAATCACTACCTCTCAGCAAAATCTTCCTCACAGGGCTGCTGCAAGGATAAAATGGGGTGGAAGGAGACCACTTGTATCTTGCTTCTTAGGGGGGAAAAGGGGCAGGATATAAATGTATTTGGTTTGGGATGTCAGGAGCCACAGCATGTGTCCAAAGCAGTCAATAAAATTGAACAGGACCTTTACTGTAGCAGCTAATAATGCCACTGTTGTTACTACTGTTTCTAGGGATTAATGAATTTCACATCATGAACATATGAAAATACCTGCAGTGTATAGAGATAAGGAAGCCAAACAGTGTCTCCCCAGCCCAGGTACCATCCAAAATGATCGTGACAGATGTCCATCGTTTTCAAATACCAGGCTTCATTCCAGAAAAAATCCAAAACATATATACCCTGAAAAAGAACACAACAGAGATCACTAGGGCTAGCCATAGATGGACAACTGTGAAATCCTTCCTTGAAAATTTAAATGCTTAAATCGCTAGATTTTGGTAGTATAGTCACATCAGGCTTCTTTTGTTTGCTTCTGCTGAGCCTCATCTTACAAATTTTCTCTTATTTGAGATGGGATAAAAGTTTTTGACAAAAATGCAGTTCTAGGCACGCTACACTTCAGAGAATCAAACTTCCAATATTTGAAAGTATAGCTAGCCCCTAAACTGGATGGGCACACACATGCACACTTATGTGAGCCATAATCCTTTACCATACTAAGATCAGAACTCATTAACTTATACTGATTATGGGCTACAAGTTTTAGCCTGAAGGCACATGAGGTCACCACTTTGCTGAA